AGGGCCTCTGAGGTGGCTCAGCCTGGAGGGGGGTGGGGGAGCAATTCCATGGCTCATCTGCCACAGAATTGTTCTCATCTCACCAAGTTTTAGCTATGATAGTTTTTTAAATACCAATAGTATTTTAGTTCATTTTTCAACAATGCCTTGTAAATCTCATGTTACTTTATCCCTATTTAAACGTTTTGCTTTTTCCCTTCCCCTCCCCAAATTGTACGGACATCAAATATGTGAAAACAGGGGTTATGCCGTGGGGGAGGAGCATACAAAGCAACAGAAAAATCACATGATGCATTATAAATATGTTAGAAACAATGGCAATAAAGAAAAAACCACTTGTGTCCCTATCGTGGAGTGGTGGATGTGGAAGGGAAAGGAGGGTAAGGGGAAAAACAAAGGAGGGGGGTAACAATGCTCAACAGGAAATGTATTCATTACCTTGCTCATGTAACTGTATACTGTCTACTATTGTTATAATATAATTATATTTATAATTATAGCTTAAGATATGATTATTCTTTTAGATATTAGATATTATTCTTTTAGATATTTTAGATAAAATATTTTGACTACGTTTTTATCTGCTATGTAGCTTTAGGATACTGCAGAAACTTTGAATGATTGTTTTAATTGTAGCATCAGTTTTTGGAGTTTGGGGATGTTTTGATTTTGTTGTTTTGTTTTGTCTTGCTTCTTCCTTCAGTTTTTAGCAGTTATGTTTATTTGACTAGTTTCTCACGCTGCCATTCTGGAAGTAGAACTCCTGGAATTATGTTTTAGAAGAACATGTCAGAGAAGATTCCTGGTCTTATCACATACTTTGAGCATCAGTTTCCGTATCATAAATGCAAACAATTATTCTCACCACAGTACTGGCAGTTTATCCTTTCCCTCCTCATTGACCACTTTGGAAACTTTAAGAAATTCTGGCTGAAAAGAAGTACTGCCCCCAATAACATGTTGTCATGTTTTATGACATTTTAAGACTCAAGAAAGTATTTTTATATAAAGTGAGGACTGTGAGAAAGTAATCTTCAGGTCTGAACCAGAAGTTTGACCAATAAGAAAATAGTGTAACAAAGACAGAAAACAGCACCATTACTGAAGTTTTTTTGTTTTTTTTTCTCTCTCTCCATCAGCACTTCTTTCTACGTCCCCCTCTCCCAACTTATTGCATTCTACCCTTTTACCAAGATAAGATTTTTAAAATCATCATTGTCATTATTTTCACAATGCTAGGGTTTGAACTCATGGCCTTGTGCCTGCTAACAAAGCACTCTATAGTTTGAGCAACACTCCCAACCATTTTGCTTCAATTACTTTTTAAACAAGGACTCATGTTTTTTTCTCAGGCCAGCCTGAATTCCAATCATTTTTATTCCCCACCCCCCAAGGAATTAGGATGACACTACTACCATGCCCAGTTTATTGGTTACAATGGGGTTGCTTATAAACTTTTGTTTGAGTTAAACTGGGATTACAGGTATGAGCCAAGGTACCTGGTCCCAAAACTAAGAGAACTATTGCACACAAATTGAAGGATTGAATATGTTAGAGAATTCAGAACATTTATATAAAGATTTGTTAAAAACTAGTTAATTAGTAAAAAAAAAAAACTAGTAATATTCTCACCTATATTTTCACACAAAAGTCTGGACTCTGAAACAAACACTCTTTATTGAAAAATCAAAATATGAGGAGAGTCACTTCCAGTATATTCATTCACATATTTAACAATGATTAATAGCTAGAAATTTGTGGTTTATTAGTCACTTAGTTCCTAGGTTACATCTCAAGAAGCTGAGCTCTTAGGAAGGTTGTTCAAAGTCAGCATGGAGGAAAAAAGCCTGTAAAACTCTTATCTCCAATTAATAAACAAAAACCCAGAAGTGGAGCAGTGACTCAAGTTGTAAAGCACTAACCTGAGCAAAAAAAAAAAAAAAGCTCAGGGAAAGTACCCAGGCCTGGAGTTCAAGCCATAAGACTGGCACCAAAAAAAAAAAAAAAAAGAAAGAAAGAAAGAAAGAAGAAAAGAAAAATGGATTTGAAGAGCTGGTGAAGCCAAAACTCACCATTGTCATGTTTACTCCATTTTGATGTAGGTGAATAAACTACAACATAAAACTAGACACAGAAATATTGCAAATAGGATCCTAGGAGAAGCTATAATTAAGATTTAATTTTAATTTGACATGGGAACAACTTTAGACAAACAGCTTCTCATACAGTTGCTCATATTGAGTAACTGGCACCTACTAAAACAGATTCATGCACCTCTACAAATCCTCTGATCTTCTTTAAAAAAGCTAGAACTAATCAAGGATCAATTCTAATAAAATACAATGCAATCCATTTAGAGAGGCTCATTTAATAAGGGATAACGATAATGAACAAAAATCCAGACGGGAAAGTTCTATTTAAAAACTAAAAAAATCTTCTTTTTAGTAAAAATATTCAAGACTTGGGATGGGGCAGAAAAATAAAAATAAAAGTACTAAATCTGAAAATAAGAGGACCTCCTGGAGATTGGATTGTGAAATTACATCATATTGTTTAGCACATGAAACAATCCTTACTATGTGCAATACCAGCAAGGCATATTCCTCATATTCAATAAATGAGTCTTTTATGTAAAGAACTGTCACAGAAAGTAGAAAATACTTTATGATAGAAGGTCAAAAAATGCCATTTAAGACAGAGAAGTAAGGGAGTCATCCCTTTCTTAGAATTAGAAGTTTCATAAAGAAAATGGTATGGAACTGAAAGCCAACATGTGGGGCAAAAATGTGAGGACATAATGAAAAGTAACCAGAGCATATTACAGGCTCTCTTCGGAAACCAGAAGCTATCCGACTTGCTGGGGATTTGGGGAAGGTAGGGTGAATATAAAGCGAGATGATTGACAGTCACTGCGAAGACCCCAAATGTCATCAAAATCTTTAGGAGCCAATGCAAAACCCAGCAGAGTTGTGAAACAGGAAGTCATCATCAAAACTGTATCTTTGATTATACAGATACCACGTCTAAACTAGATTTTAGAAATGTCAGAAGCAAGAAAACCATTACAGAAGCTATTGTTGCATTAGGCTAGGAGGGCTGCAACCAAGGGAACAAAATTAACATAGGTTACAGTAGGTGGCATTTCCATAAATATAAAACAGGAAACAGGTTTACAAGGGGTGACACTGTGATTAGGGATAATTACAATGTGGGAAATGGTGTCTGTAGTGAAAGAGGAGTATGAACTGTTTTCAGGTTTGTTGTCTGCATGCCAGAGAGATTGACAATGTCTCCTAGAAGAAAACCAATAAAGCTGAGATTTAGAGGGAAAAAAAATCTAACAGAAAAATGATGTCTGATTTCTTCAATAAATATTTACTGGGCACTTACTGGGTGCCTGTCATTGCTCTGGAAGCGGGGATGAGGAGTTATCTTTAATTTTTAAGACACTTTATGTGGACGAGGCACTCTTCTCAGTCTGTGACTCCAGAGGAAGTACTGGAGCCAGAGAGTGGGAGGAAGGTAGGAAGTAAAGTATCTCTAATAAAGGGAAGCTTTTGATGAATAGTAAGAGCTCTGTCACAGGCAGCATACAAGCAGGGGTTGGATGTAATTCTTCCAGGAACACTGCTACAAAGAAATCTCAACCTTTCTGCAAGTTCTTTCCTGTGTCTTAGGAGTCTATGAGCCCCAGTAATGTAGTCCTTTGGGTTCTATTATTAATCTCTAGCTTCTCCCAATTATTAAATAAATTACTCAGTCTGTCTGCCATTCAGCAAAACTCGCACATTTACATCTGTTATTCTTGAATTATTTTTGGTTAGAGCTCTTCTTCATTAAAAAAAAAATTCTACCCAGTTAATATTACCTTTATAGCTATTTTAGAATGGTAACCCTGGTAGATTGGGTTATAAATACCAGGAGAAAGGAATTTCTTGTGCCTAATAATATTTTTGTTTGGAAGAAACCCTGGCAACTAAGGAATGAATTATCTTGAATTTAAGATTACAATGCAGTTTCTGTATATTGCAGTATTTTAAAAAGAAAAAAAATCGGAGAGATTTACTTTGATCTAGCACAGTAAAGAAAAAGAATAATAATTCTCCCAATGCTGTAAAGCTTTAGATCAGAAACATTAATCTGTGTTGCAATTTTTTTTTTAAAGAAAAGAAAGGAAAAGGAGAATGGGGGTGGGGAGAGGAACCTGTAGTGAGCTGTGTTCTAAGCTATAGTTCAGGCTTTACATTTCCTGGTGTCTTTTGAACCATAAAAATCCACAACAAATACCTCGGTAATGTATAGCCAGTATGAAGATTCAATTCAGATTTAAGCACTTTGGTTTGCTTTTGAGTCTTGCTATTTTCTGCATTTGTTTTGACTGCTCTCATCATTCAAGATTGACGCTTGGATGGGCGTGTAGGAGGAAGCAGCAGCAGCAGGCTTACAGCTTGCAGACAAAAAAAAAAAAAAAAAAAACCCTGCCTTATCTGATGGCTATTATTGAAAATGCGAGGTGTAGCCTGTGCTGGGTAATGAAGGGGAGCGCGCGAGGGGGAGCGAGGCGCGTGGAGCTGCATACTGATGAGTGTAGGAGTACTTGATAAAAAGAATTCTGGCTGCTGGCCGTGCACGGCTCGTGGTGGAGTACTCCAGCAATCACATAGAACCGGCAGACCAGCCTAAGCTGACAGCTTGCTATGCCTTCTTCTGCTGCCTGGTTTTGGGGGCTGTCTGACGTACTGGTCGGTAGTAAAGATTAATATGTAAGAAATGTGGAGCTAGGATCAAGTCATTCTCCACAGCCTGCCTGGCAAACTATGTTTCACTTCTGACTTTGCTGTCTCGCTGAGAACATTAATCTGTCAAGCTGGCGGGCTCCTTTGATAGCAACTTTCCCCGGAGCATGATGTGGCAATGCCACCTCTCAGCCCAGGACTACCGCTATTACCCCGTGGATGGCTACTCCCTGCTTAAACGCTTCCCTCTTCATCCTCTTACAGGACCTAGATGCCCTGTGCAATCAGTGGGACAATGGTTGGAAAGCATTGGGCTACCTCAGTACGAGAACCACCTGATGGCTAATGGATTTGACAATGTGCAGTTTATGGTAAGATGCTCTGTGTGTCCACGGAGCTGCCTTTTGTCTGTCTTGGCTTCTTATGTGTCTTACATGGCTCAGAGGCAGCCTGATTCGCAGCGAAACCGATCCGATTTCTGTGTGTGACTGCATCAGAAAATCGTATGCCCTTAGGACTGAACTTAAGTGTGGACGTATAGACACTTACTGCAAAACGAGATCTGTATGCATCCATTACACATGTGTCCTATGAATGAATCGGTAAGAGTACTATTTATAGGCAGTGAAAGAAGATTTAACATTTATATTTTCCCTGACATTCTTTTGTGTGTGGTGGTGGTGTGTGTGTGTGTGTGTGTGTGTGTGTGTGTGTGTGTGTGTTTAAAATAAAATCTGCAATCTTAGAATACCCAGTTAGATTATATCACTCTTCCACTAATTCCTGAATTCATTTCTATAATTCTGTTATTCCTGAAGCAGATCATTTCACTTGAGCATCAGCATTTAGTGATTAATTAGGCAATTTGTTGTGTTGATTGTGAAGAGATCTTTTCTTTTTTTTTGCCTGATATTGTCAACAAGCAGTTTAAATCATGTAGAGGACCAGTTCATTAGCAAACTGTTTCATACAGTCTATTCACCTCCTTACCCACGCTGACTGAAGAACGATGAAGCATTGTCTGTTACTTTCTGTGCAAAACAAACACTTCAGCCCATTGCGTGTCAGTATTTACGAAGAGGGGCTGATGCACTCAGTACATTCATGTACTTCTGAATCCTGGTCTCCATGCCGTGGAAACCAGGCGTGTGCAAACTTCTTGCTGTGCTGCATACAGGCACGAAGGCAGATGGGGCAGTGTGTGGACAACAATCTAGCTTTCTAATCATTTCCATACCTCCCCCAGTGCTCATCAGTGCTCCTTGTTAAGCTACGTCACAGCTCTTGTTACCTTTCCTTACTATTAAGGTCCCATTGCACATATCACTGAACCCTAAATTCACAGGGAACATAATGCAGGCATGTAGTACCCACATTGCCGGTAGAAATAATTAATAGCTGTCCTTAAATAAAATGCTATGGCTGACACCTGCCGCTGGCTAATGCCAGCACCTCTCATAAAAGTATTTGAAGCTAGTCAGAATTTTTTTTTAATTTCCATTTGAGATTATTTTGTTCCAGGATTCTCTTGATTATTGTAGATCTGAAGATTATTTAAATTGTTAAACTTCTGCTTCCTCTCCAAAAAATATCTATTGATTTTTTTAGTTAAAAAGAAGACAAATTTAGTAAGTCTTATGAGCTTTAAGTAGTTGTGTCCATATAGCCCTTTATGAGTGTCTTGTTTTCTTGGCTTGTTGTTGTTTAAATAACAAAATATGTAGCTATTCTTTTTCTTGTACTTATCAAATGCTATCACTAGTTAGATAGACTAGATATTCTGAATATTGAAATAGGTCAAAAGTAAAAGTTCTTCAATGGTTGTAAAAGTCTTAGGACACTGAGCAGATTTCAGACAGATTTGGGACACTAAGTAGATAACATTAAGAATGAAAGGAATTATCAAACAGGAAGAAAGTCACTTCAGGATAACAAGATTACTGAACATTTTAAAATCTTTCTTTCTTTATACCTGTCTGCGTAAAGTGGGACGTCTTATTCCCATCTTTCAAGCCCTGGTCCAAATTGATTCTGCTACAAATTAATTCTGGTTCTTATGAAGTTAGACTTTTGGATTCCCTGGGTTATTTGGCTACATGGAAAGATTTTCATTCAGCTGAACTTCCCTCTGTACATTCCAAGCAAACATTTCCTCTCTGTGTTATAATCAAATATAATCCCCAAAGCCTTTAACTGAATGAAAAGTTAATCAAATTTTAAATAAGAATAATTTGGGGAGAGATTGTAAAACACATTCATGAGCAAATTATACACAATCCTCCAAAATATATCTGGGAGGAAAAACTCCTTAGACATTCATGACAAAATCGGGGTTTAATCATAGATGATTGTCTTCCAGTTTAATTCCAAGTATTATGTGTAACTTTCCAGAAAACAAGAACATATTGCCAATTCAGACAAACTAATCAAATTTTCTGAGACAGAATTTTTAAAAAGACAATTCTTATTTGTCACATAGAGATGTTGATTAACTATGCACATGAAGCAAACCATAAAATGGTGTCATCAATTACTGATCTACATGTTGTTAAATACCATTTATTTGTTACTAATGTCATATGACAATTTTCTGCCTTTCTGAAAGTTATTTGATCTCCACAACCTGATTCATTTCATTATGAACTTAAGTATACTAAAAGGATTGACCACCCGAAGAAACAGATTTTATTAATGTGGAAAATCTGTTAGACCTGCTTAGTTTCTGCTTGGTATCATATTCTAGCTTTTGTTTTTCTTGAAGCACATTCTGACCTGCATTTATTCATCCTGTTGCCAAAGCAACAAGCACCACGCTCCTATTAACTATGATGTAGCACAGGTCTTATTAGCTTTTAAGAACAAGACAGTAGACATCAAGAAGGTATAATTAATGTTGGCTGAAACATCATAGTATATCCATGCACAGATATGCTTTATTTAGGAAACATTCTCAGGAGCGAATTTTTCATTTAATCAATATCCCACTAATGAATGTGAACTTAAAAGCTCCATATAAGTAACTTTCAAAGTAAAATATTTATTGAAGGGAGCAAAGCCATAAAAGAAAGCTGTAGAAGGCTTGAGACTTAAAAAGTAATTTTTGCTCCATCTGTTCTACATACTCCTATGGGTAAAGACTATACACAGACAATTTCTTGATTATGGTTGTCTTACTTTAATAGCTTGCTTATAGCAATTCCTTCTCCTGTTTGCTTTGAAATATCTGTCAATTCTTGATCGTTGTTTGAGCTCTTAATACCAATTCTTGATTTTTTTTTAGATATGTGAAAATATTTTCTACATGTTTAGGATAAAATTCTAAACTTTTTCATAAAGCATTTATTGCATTCTAGTTTGCAGAGTAATTGAACACATGGATTCGGCACTTGGCACCCTGAAGTATATATAATAAATAGAAATTGAAACAAACAGTAGTTACAGAAGTTCCTCGGGCCATAAACAATTGGGGGAATGTTAAAATCAAAAGCCCTTTTGCAGGAGAATCTGTATGAGGTTTTCCCCAGGCCTCTCCCTGCCTGCTCCTTTCCTAGCCAGTCCTTCCCTCCTGCTTTGACATATCTGCTTGCTGCTCACCAGCCTCATTTTCTGAATTTGCAACTTATACAAGGTGTCAACGTTTCAGCATCCATGTTTTTCCCAAGGAGGAGCTAAGTAGGAGAAGTGACTTATACAGCACATACAGGCTTACCTATGTCTGTGACTGTTTCTACCATCATCTTTCTTTTCTAAAGTCTGATGACTGCTTCCTAAAGTCTTCAATCATTGATTCCCTTTGTACTCCCTCCTCACTCCTCCTGGAACTCTTATTTCCTTTCTTTCCCCTTTATCTTTTGTTTCCACAAATGTAACTTAATTCCTGTCTGGTTACCTAATTTACCTTAATGACTTTGATCCACAGCAGCCTCTTTTTTCCCGATGAACCCATATACTGGTTACATCTGACAGAAAAATTATATTTGTCATGTCTTCCTTCTCCCCCCAGAATAGCGGTGAAGTTTTCATTGGTGTGTATCCTGTCTCCCCCAACTAAACTGGCAGCTACTCAAGTCCCAATTCTGTATATTCAGTTTCCTTGTCTTTCACCAAACTTCTAGCATAAGACCATGTACATTTATAAAAAAAAATGTATAGCAGATTATTATAGACAGACCTCTGGTGTCAAGCAGTAGAATCCTGGTTTTGCCAATGGGAACACATGGCACCAGTTTCCTCTCATGCATTCAGCTGATATTATTTAAATATTCTCTATGTTCCAAGTACAGTAGTAGACACTAAGAATGTAAAAGTAAATATGATCCTTACATCCAAATTTATCATACTATTTTCATGTACCTTATACATGAGTTCCTCCTTACATACATACAAATGTGCCTGTTCACACACATTATATTACAAGGATTTGTCCTACATCGTCCCATATAATTATCATTGTTTAGCACCTGTCCTTGCTAGCAATTGTCCTCAACACCAAATTACAGTAGGCCATACAAGATATAAAATCTGTCATTGCATAAAGTAAAAAAAGATGCTGATAACATAAAAACACGTGGTAGATTGATAGTCTGAAAACTATAATAAGAAATTTATGTTACTAAGAAGAGGACTGACTCATAGCCTTACCATGGTAACTAGCTGACAGTTATATTTGTAAAATCTAACTAAAAAGGGAAAAGGATGAAATTATATCAACTCATTTTTATAAGGATCTACTGTTGACTTGGGATAATCTGACCATGATTAAAATGTCTAAATACAGCCTTGCTGGGGAAAGGTATAAAAACAATACTGTCTATGGGAAATGGCATTTTGTACACGTGAGGGGATTGCATTTAGAAAGCACTTGCTACACTGATTTGAGCCAAAAAGTACATATTTAGGATCTGAGCCTAAAAGTACATATTTAATTAAACTCTATCCCCCATTTTGTGGCACATTTTACATGCTAATGGACTTGAAAGCTCTTTTCTACTTTTACATAACTTGGCTGTAATCAGAACATTCTTTGAAGTTGGGCTGATTTTTGTAAATGACCTGTTAAGTATCTTAGTAGCATACCATGATCCAAGGAAAGAAGTTAAACTTGTAGAGTAGAAATATAAATTGCCCCTAAATGGTAAGACTAATCATTCCCACGATGATTTCTTGTTTAAATATTTTGGGGGAATTTTTATGTAGTTGCTGAGTTTCACAGGACTAAGAGGAAAAATGTCTGCTCCCTACATCCTCCTAGTTCTGAAATAGAAGAGGCTTTGGGTTGAGGAGGTGCATCTATAAGTACATCTATAATTTCCTAGACTCATTAGGGTCCAGTAGTTACAAACTTACTTTGGGGAGGGGAACATAATTTTTT